TGAGCTGGACATCAGAACATCCAACTCCACTTCCATCTCTCCGCTATCGGTTTCTTTAGAATCTTCTCCATGCACTTCATCATGCTTTGGCATCTTCTTACTAATACGTATAGCTCCATTTTTAGCCTTGTTTTGTGGTACTAAAGCTGCAGTGGCACTTTTCAGATACTTCTCGAGCTCGGTAACAGTTCGCTGTACATTTTTTACATCGTCCGGAACGTGGGTTATTTGTTTTTCCTGCGCCGATAATTGACTCTCGAGCGGTTGAAAATCGGTAGGCTCCTCCAGCTTCGGTAATACACGGTTAACAACTTCGTACGGGCACGGTTGCGGCGCCAATCGCTCGACTTTCTCGTACAGCGCTGGCCTTTCGTCTCGGAATTGCCAAGCGGGTAATTTGGGATTGTAATCTGATATAACTGCTTCTGAGTAGAATTCATTTGTGCTTTGTGCAGGATGTGTAGGAAAATTGTAATTGTCTATGGAGCGAGCTTTAATTGCTGTTATATCCAGCAAACATATTAGTGCGACTATACAGAACATCGCAAGTACTTTTTGTGCCTGAAAATTACAAAAAAACACTTATTTAATTTTCGCTCTTTAAAAAATATAAAAATCCCAAAAACAAACGTTTACCAATTTTTGCTTTGGAACTCAATTACTTTAAGGATACTGTGTCGTGTCTACTCACGAACTTTCTATTCAAAATTGTCTCAGCAAGCAAACTGTTTGAGCTTAGCGTCTAGCTGCTTATAAGTCAAGTCCCTTCACGGGTGGCCCAATTCAGTTTGCGATAAGCGATTGAAAAATATTGAAATCCATATTTACGTCGAAATATCTTTAGTAGCTCAACCAAAATACGCGACAGAGTCACGCGTTTTCTCAGAACTCATTTACAGATTTCCAAATTTTTTCGCAGAAACATTCTGTTTATTTCTCAGTATGCGGCGATTCCAATAAAAGAGTAAAAAGAAAAAAAATATGTTAACTATAAATATTTTTATATATAAATTTTTATATATAAAGATAATAGTTCCTCAGTTTTCGAGATATCGATCTCAAATTATGCACAGCTACTTTTCTCTCAAAGAAGTTGTTTTATTTACCGAAATCACCAATATCTGTCATACATCTGTCTCTTATACACATCTAGATGTGTATAAGAGACAGGTTTTCGAGATATCGATCTCAAATTATGCACAGCTACTTTTCTCTCAAAGAAGTTGTTTTATTTACCGAAATCACCAATATCTGTCATACATAGCTGTTATAAAGACTGAACGATTTATTTAATTCAATTGATTTCTAAGGGGTATTATAGTTTCTGTATAGCCATAGACAGCGTTTTTTCTTGTTTGCAATAAAATTTTAAGCCACAAACAGGCACCGAAAGCGCGAAGCACTTTTGCTGATCTGAAAAAAAAAAAATAAAAAATAAAATAAAAAAATCAGCTTTGTTTTACTCAATAAAACCTTTTTAGTTTTTATCAATATATACTATGTATCGCTTGGAATTCAATATTTTCAATTACTTATCAGCTAGCTGAACTGAGCTAACCTTAATATTGATTGTGCCGAAGCGACTTGACTTGTTAGCTGCTAGACTTCTGTCTCAACAGTTTGTTTTGTGAGACAATTTTGAATAGAAGGTTCGTTAGTGGAACTTAGCTTTAAAGTAATTGAATTCAAAAATAAAAGTTAGTAATTTTTACATTTTTTAAAGAGTGAAAATTAAATAAGTGTTTTTTCTAATATTCAAGCACAAAAAGTACTTGCGATGTTCTGTGTCGCACTGACGTGTTTGCTGGGTATAACAGCGATTAATGCTCGCTATATAGACAATTACAATTTTCCACTTTATCCTACACAAAACACAAATGAATTCTACCCAGGAGCAGCTATACCAAAATACAATCCTAAGCGCTATGGAGACACCTCGAAAATCGTACGCGTTTCGTTAAGCATGGCACCACCATGTAAGTACATACATACATATATTTAATAATTGAAAGCACTGTAAAGCACATGCTTTGTTTTTCAGCACGCCATTTATTGCCACCCTATGAAGATTACGGCGCTGCCCAAGCATATTCGAATAGAATCTACCGAAGCAAATTACCCGCTTGGCAATTCCGAGACGAAATGCCAGCGCAGTACGAAAAAGTCGAGCGATTGGCGCCGCAACCGTATCCGTACGAAGTTGTTAACCGTGTATTACCGAAGGTGGAGGAGCCTACCGATTTCCAACCGCTCGAGAGTCAATTATCGACGCAGGAAAAACAGATAACTCAAGTTGCGGACGATGTAAAAAGTGTACAGCAAACTGTTGGCGAGCTCGAGAAGTATCTGGAAGGTGTCGCTGCAGCTTTAGTACCACAAAACAAGGCTAAAAATGGTGTTATACGCATTAGTATGAATCTGGTGCCCAAGCTTGGTGACGTACAAACTGATAGTTTGCCTGAAAAGGAAATAGATAAGCTTATTTCAAGTATGTGGGGAGAAGACTCCACAGATTCAAATACTTCAGAGGAGGAGAAGGATTTGGATAAGCTGATTTCAAATATGAATGTAGAAGACTCTGCAGTTAACGATAATGAGAAGATGGAAAAAGAATTGGAAAATCTAATTTCCAGCATGTTTGGAGTAGATTCTAATGAAAGCGATAGCTCAAAAAATGACGAAGAGTTGGATAAACTGATTTCAAGTTTGATTCTAGAAGACTCTGCAGTTAATGACGGCTCAAGTAAGGACAAAGGATTGGTAAATGTAATTTCCAGCACAATTGTATCAAAATCTGCAGATGGCGATAGCGAAGAAAAGGAAAAAGATTTGGAAAAATTTATTGCCAGCTTGTTCGTAGACGATTATAGCGATTATGCTAAGAATCTTATTGAAAAAACGGATGAAAACAGTGACGCGGAGGAGGAATATGGTAAAAAATTGGATGCTTTCTTAAATAAAATATTTGCTGAAGAAGCTCAGGAGGAAGAAAAAGAAAAAGTGGAAGAGGAAAAAGAACAAACTATGGAAGAGGAAAAAGAAGAGGAAATTGCTGCTGGCGTGGAAAAGAACATACTCTACGACTTAAACAAGGATATGAATTACCTTTTTGAGGACAGCAAATCGGACAAGGGGGAACAAAAGCTCAATTTTGATGACGAATTAGATTATCAAGATTATTTAATGAATAAGAAATACATCTTTAATTACGATAAAAATCGTTACTGAAATCTTCTCCCGACATATATTACCTATTATCTTAATTTAGCACATTTAAGAACTGTATTTGAATCTTAAATAAATATATCTGTATTGGCAGAGCTTTTCAGAATTTTAAATAAGTATAACTGTATTTGAAAACCTTTTCAGACGTACATTTGAGTTATAAACATAATTTTTTTTTATTTTAGAAATTTATTTTATTTCAAAACTGATTTTGTGGCAATCATTTCACCATTTTGAAAAGCTCTTAGTGCTTTTTGAAAAATGTAATATTACATAAAGAATTCTTATTTTGATCATTGCTTACACTTCAAAGTATTTTAGAGCTTAACATCTTCAGTAGCTTTGAAAATTCTTTAGGAGGAGGAAGACCGCTACTCCGTTGGAGGGATAAGGAAGCTTGGGCTTAGCTTTAGCCTTCAACCAAGGTCAGTTAGGGCAATACTGTGATCCGTTGGTTTAATTGCCTCTTGATAAGCAAAATCTATGAATATTTATTGTTATGTTTGGTACTTCGATCTGGTGATTCAATCACCACTTGATAAGCAATGCTTACGCTGCTTTGTTTTCATGTTGGGCCCAAAAAAATCGACCCCAAGTGGTGATTTACAAATCACTTAATACAATGGCGGCATAAAGGTTCACGTACTAAGTGAATGGGGCGCACTAATATGGCGGTCATTTAAAACATCAAAGGGTTAAGAAATTCGTAATGACTTTTCTTTCGGCGAAATTCCAAAGAAATACAAAAACAGCCGAAAACTTTAATAAGGTTTCAGCTTGAAATTGATTGGCTCAAATAATTATGAGAACAAAAGAAGTCCTTACACCAATGGCTATCGATGTAGCGCCATTTTTGTATGAATTTCTGTTTGGTATAGTGTGGTTAAGTGAAAATGCGTTTAGGGCAAGTTCAAGTCGCTCAACAAAGCTCTTTATAGGCGGTTACTTATTCTGGGTAACAATTAGACGAATATCTATTGAAGCTTCTTTTTAACCGTTTTATTGTACAGGTATTGCTGCTCATTAACGGTGTGCTGATATAATTTTTTTTAGGTATGCAATTGCCATTATCATCAAGCCATGAAATGAGTTTTCAACATTTCTAAAGTCACATAACCTCACACATCTTTCGGGGTTGCGCGTAGTATGATTATTTAAGTCAAATTATATCAGAAAGGAAAATACAAATTTCAACCTGCGAAGCCATGGAAAATTTATTTTTCATTTTATTTCAACTTTAATTACTTTTGTGTATTTCGACATAAGTGGGAAGGTTGCGAAAATTGCAAACGGCTTTGAAGTAGTTGAAAAAGTTTGGATTTGTATACGCTTTAGTGGACATAAAAGGACATTAGTCGATATGCCTTTGAGCGGGAAGCTTAAAGTTCGTATTGCGCGAACTTTTACTTCTACTTCGGGAAGTCATTGGGTGAGTAAATAAGTGGTTAATTTTAAGAGAAACTTGTACTTAAAAATTCAACTTAAACATGAAGAAAAACACGAATTTTGATAAATTTGTTAGTTGGAGCAAGCCGAGCTTTCTCGGAATAAAGGCTACTACATCTAGAAATATTTTCTAAAATAATAAAAGAATCTAAATAGTTTTTAGTTTAATTGATGATCGAGTTGTGAGGTGGAGAACTGTAGACTGCCGGGTGATTGCCTATGTAGACGATGTAGCACTTATGGTCAAAGGAAAGTTCCTGAGTATCATGCATGGGTTGACACAGGGGTATCTCAGCATTACAACAACTTGGCCAGTCGGAAGAGGTCTCGCCATTAACTCGAATAAAACTGAGATGGTTCTATTCACTAGCTGGTTCACTCGGTTTAGATAGTAAGCTTTCGTTTAAGCCGAATATCGAAGAGAGAGAGAAAAAAGGCATCGATGGCGTTATACCGCTGTAGAGGAGCTATTGGTAAAAGGTGCGGTCTCACACCGAAAGTGGTCCTCTGGTTCTACGACACCACATTCGAGCCTATTATGTTCTATAGAGTCTTTATGTGGTGGAAAGCTGTAGAAAATACCACACTCGCAAAGATTCTTAAGAGCGTTTAAGAGCATGAGTGGTGCACTCGAACTATTGCCCTTAAGCCATCTTGCACATAGTGGCAGTAGCCATCGTCAGAGAGGGTATGGCTGCGGGTAGGTTGGTGAATAGGTTTACTGTTAGTAGCTCTCTATCAACTCCAGCTTCAGACCTTCTGACTATTGCAGTGCCTTCCAAGCCGAAGTTGCAGCCATTAAGGTAGCAATAGATCTGCTACTTCGGATTGCAGCCTTCTTCAAAAACGACCATTCACTCAGATAGCGGAGCAGCGATACAAGCCTCGAACTCGTTTACAGTGCGGAGTGCCTAATCTTGCTATCAAAGCATCGAGCGTCTTTGTGATAAGGCTGGTCAGCTAGCAAGGAGAGGCACCCTAAAACCACTGTTACCAGAAATGGAGCAGGTTGGTGCTCTCGTATCCTTTTGTGTTTTACCACTATTCCGCAGGGGATCTAATGATCTCTTTGCCATCAGTAAGGCTAGCTTCTCCCCAGTTGTGGGGTTTTTAACAGGCCATTGCTCTGTTTTCGTTATGCTGCTAATCTTACCTGATGCCACTTACAGAAGCTGTATGGAAGAATATTAGGTTTCCACTTCCTTCTTGTCTGTTCCACGTTTGAGACGAAAATACTCTTCAGATGATGGTTTTATTTACTTCATTTGTTCACTGAAGTTCACAACTGCCTTCGTCGGATCATGTTCAGTACGTCAGCCTACTCACTACTACCTTTAAATAGTTCGGTCGATGCAATTTCCTTTACCGTCGGTTTTACGTAACCGAAATGGAACTGCATTTTTATCTGACCAAGAACTGTTGACTCTGCAGAATTCATATAATTACTTCGGGAATGTTGGTAATCGGCTTTGAAGGTTTTTGATCTCCTTATCTTCACGTTCTACTTAGCTGCCGGAAGGTGCTTCACTAGATGGGAGGAGGTCTTTCGTAAATATAGTCTGACAGTTAGTTAAATATATTCTAATTAGTCGACCTATTTCTCTCTTCCTCATCGAATCATGTGAGAGTATCAAAGTTTTTTGTTGAGAAACAATTCGCATCCTCGTGGAGGACAAATCGTTCAGACCTAATTCATTGTAATGTGCCTATTTGTTATTTCTGAACCATTAAGCTTAGTTGCTCAGCTGCTCGGTCAATGAAATTTGGATTGTATTGAAAAGTGAGTGAATTTTTGTGTTGTGGACCTCACTTTCTCTTCTTAAATTTTTTCACGATCTCTTCTACTTTCTCACTCTCTCACCTTAGTCGATTCTTTATTAACCAATTTTCTCTAACTCTTTCTCTCTCTCTTTCTCTCTAGCGGAAATTCCGCGAAATAATGAAACGTTATTTTTATGCTGTTTAAAGTCTGTAGAATGAACTTGATTTACACGAAGTTTTTCTCTTCACTTTGGAGAACTTTATATGAAAGTATATGATTTTATGCAGATGTATGTATGTATGTGTGCATGAAAATGAAAATACTTTATGCGGAAAATTTGAGCGCGCACGTCATCACATCGATGCCAATCAAATATATGCGCGTTTATAGTATTTATGAATGTTCCGAACAATGGCAGCAGCACCAAAAACACCGCTACACTACGCTGACTGGTTGCTGCAACAGAGCACAACTGCACACGCGGGCGAGTAGCAGATTTTTATTAAATTTCAATGAAACGCAATCATATTCGCCAAGCGTTGTGCGATTTATTCCCTGCTTTTGTTTTTCATTTCCTTTCTGTTTATTTTTGCTTTGCGCTTTAATGGCAGTCGAAAATCGCAACGTAAAAATTTTATAACAATACTAAAATGTCCTTTTCACAAACGACCACACGCTGCGGGTAGGCAGCGATGACGGCGGCGGCGGCAGTCGTTGGCATTGATGACCGCCAAATGCCCGTTCAATGCAATGCAACATTACCGCGAATTCCATTCGGAGGCATTCAAATGATTTTTATTTCAAGCGATTTATTTCCAATTTTTGCCCGTTTTCTTAATATTTTTTTTGTTTTGGTTTTTGCTGGTTGTCAACAATGAAAGCATCAAAGCGCAAAAGCTTTCAATGACTCATTCGTTAGCCCTCCCTGTCCTGGGTGGTGTATGCATGTGAGAAGCGTTCGACGGATATTTTATTTACTACTAGGGTGGTTGAAAATGTTCCATAATTTCATTACAGATATTTTTAAATTATTTTGAGGTATTTTATTTTATTTTTAATTTAWTAATTAACGCTATTGGGTGCAGAAATTTTTTATGGCATTAGGGTGGTGCAAAAAAAAAAAAAATATATTTAGTGCGTTGTTCCAGCTGTGTTGTAGCTGAAGATTTTGAGGCGATACTGAGTGATCCAAGCATCGTGGAAGCTTTGAATGGATGTTTTATTAACCATTAGGGTGGTTGTACAATTTCAATAACTACGTATGTATATTTAATTTAAATTGATTGTTTTTATATGCTCTTTTTTTATTAATTTTATTTTGAATGTTTTTGGAGAAAATGTTGTTGCACCACCCTAATACAAAAAAAATTAAAAATTGAATATATTTTTTGGCTGTGCTGAAAATGAAGACTTTCCAATTATATTGATTATCTCAAATCCCGTGGAAGCATAGAACGGATATTTATTTTACCATTAGGGTGGTTGAACAATTTCAATAACTACATATATTTGAATTTAAATGTTTGTTTTTTAATCTTCGTTTTTCATTAGTTTTATTATTAATGTTTTCTTACAACAACATTTACAGCATTAGGGTGGTAAAAAATAAAAATAAACATTGAATATATTTTTCCACCAGTGTTGAAGCTGAAGATTTTGAAGCGAGTATTCCAAACATCATAGGAAGTGTTTTTCGGATATTTAATATACAATTAGGGTGGTTGAAAATTTTCAATAATTTAATTTTAGTACACTTGAAAATTTTTTATATATTGTCTTAAGTTTTTTACGTTTTTTAATTTCATTATTAACGTTTTTGGGAGAAAAATGTATTGTATTAGGTCGGTATAAATTTTGTTTTTTTTATAAAAATTGATTATTTAGTTCCAGTTGAGTTAAAGCCGAATATTTTGC